TCTCTCTTCTCTGATTACTCTTCTTGCCTTTGATTTTGCAGAAGATGAGGGATTTGGCCTAGATCTTGAAAGGGGTGACCGAAACCCTAGTTTTAAAAACGATGATCTATCGGTGATGATGGTTAGATGTGCGATGAAAGGAAGGGAGAAAGGGTCGCGATGAACTGATTTATGATTTCATCAATCTTCTGAGATCTCCGGTAATATCTTTCTGATTTTTGCTTTGTTTTCTCTTCTCTGTGATTCAGACCTTTCCCTCTCCGTCTTTCTCGAAATCGTTTCTGAAGGGTGTTGTAAGAGTAGGAAAATGATGATAGTTTAAGGGTTAGGGTTTTGTTTTAGCTTTGTTTCTGTATATCTGTTCATTGTGTGTTTGGCTTGAACTATTTTGAAGGGTTTGTTTGTGATGGAAAATGATGATGGAAACTAGCGTTTGGGAGTTGTTCTTGCTGCGGCCTCTGTTTCTTGTCCATTTGTGTGAACTGTTGCCTCTTCTTTATATGATGTGAACTTATGGCTTACTTTTGAAATTGACTTGTGATAACAGGCCTTGAGCCATTTCTTTTCGTCTTGGACTTGTGATTTTCTGTTATGTCAACTCTGTTGCGATTTGATTGTACTTTTGCTGTACTATGTTGTCCCTGTTGCTTGCTGGATTTTATGAACTGTCTCAGTTGCTTGTTGGCTTTTGTGAATTGTCTCAGTTGCTTGCTGGCTTTTGTGAACTGATTTTCTGTGATGTCTTTTGTACTTGTGTAGTACATTACTTTTTGAGTTTTTTTAACTTTACTGTGAACCAAACAAATCTCTTATGCATTTGTTTGAGATTTGTAGTAGAGGTCTAGGCCTATGATTGATACTTGAATCTGATTCTGTTTGTAAAACAATGAAGCTTTTGTTGGGCTTGAATTCATGATATTCTGACTTGCTGAATTGTGCTTGGGCTATGATAATTCTGACTTTTGAATCTTTTTCTCTTCTCAATTTGTCTTTTGTGAACCAATTTATTTGTAATTTGAAATAGACCTAGGCCTATGATTAAATCTGATATTTGTATGAGGCTTTTTGGCACATGAACATGATTGAGAAACAACCTAAAATATGATTCCTTAAACAAAACCCTAATGATGAAATTTGGAAACTCTTGCTTGATAATTTCTTGGTTTATGCTCAAATTTAATTTATTGCTAACCCTATCTCTTTCTTGTTTCATGTGACGTTGATGAGGAATGGATGAAGATGGCAAGACAAAGAGGTCGTGGCTGCCATAAAGAGCTTGTAGGGAAATTGGAAGAAGTTTTGGCAACTTCAATAGATTTAGGGATTCCATTTGAATTTGTATTGTAAAAATTTAGGATTTTAGGCTATGAAACTTGAATTCTTCTTGTAAATTGAACAAAATAAAACTTGAGAATTTTAGGCCATGGTCATTTTGGAAACTCTTGTAAATTAGTGAAGTACTTGGCCTTTAAAACTTCAATTTTATTTTGTAACTTGAAACATCTTTTGTCTTAAGTCTTGTAATGAAATAAACTTAAGAAACAAAACAACTTTTCTTGTAAGCCTTGGTAAAACATGTAGGTCTGGATGAATGTTGCATTTATAATAATCACAACTTTGCAAATGTGTTGAGTCTTGAATGAAATTTGTCATTGGTATGACAATGAATGAATTTTAGAGAAAACTCGAATGATCATGAAAATGATAAAGTGATGTTTCTTGAACAAATATTGAATTCAAAGGATATTCCTCTTAAGATAATCCAAAGCAAACTTCAAGTTCAGATTTCAAACTTCTTGAATAAAATCCAAAGCAAATGATTTATATCATAAACAAAGAAACATGCCCAACCTTCAATTGATGATCATGAACCAAATAGTCCATAATATCCCCTTTGTCCTTCATGAAAGAATGGATCCACTACATACCATGATTAATGATCTTAAAAAGTGCATTCCCCTTTAAGAAATTTTGAAGATATGAAGACTTGAAATACAAAGAGATATTTGTCATGAAAAAAATAAATAATCCTTAGTTGAAATTAGTGACAAAGTAATAATCCACTTGACTAAGGGACATATTGAAAAAAATTTATGGAAGAAAGAATCTTCAATGATTACGAACACAAAAAAAAAACCTAATTTCACATTTCAGTACTTGTAGTCTCCAATCTTCATATGAGACGATAGACAAGTTGGGGTGTCTTGAGGTGTGAGAAGCCTTGGTAGCCTTGAGTAGTTGGAAACCCTAAGAGAATGTCTTGAAGAAAAGAGAGGGCGAATTTTGGGGTACAACACAGAGCACTCCTGTTTTTCTCACTAGCACTCAAAATATCATTACAATCGCCGCCAAGGATTCAACCAACTTTCATATTAAAATCTAATTGTTCCATAGCCTCCCACAAATCTTTCATACCATCCTCCATATGGATAGCATAGATAGTAGAAAACATTCAGTCTCTTCCATCTTGTAGTTTAATTTTGGAATGGATTGGTTGGAAATAAGTCTGAAGAATTTCATTATTAGCATTGTCTTTTTTCCAGGCCATAAGAATCCCTCCAGAGAAACCAATCGAATTAGAAAAAGCAAAGCCATCAAACTCCATCGATTTGATATTCTTACACATCCTCTCCATATTGGATCTAGTTTCGAGAATAACAGTGATATAAGGTTTATACATACGAATATAGTTTTGCATCACCCTTTTGAAAGCCTTGTTGGTAGCACCTCTACAGTTCCAAATGAAGATATTGAATTGATCACAGTTCATAAGACCACTTGAGGTTTTTCTAGTTCTCCTTACAAATATATCAGGGTTTCAATGCCAAGAATCTAATCATATACACCTTCTTTAATCAAAGGGTCTTGAGCCTGAATCTCAGGAATATCAAAGCCATGTTTGTCTGTATTACATAAAGTAATAGAGATAAATTCTTCATTCCTATGAATAGATCCTTGGGAACGAAGCTCTTTCGGTCCCAATTTGTCCATATTATGAACATTACCGGTCATAAAGTTGACAGTTTTAGCCATTGTTTCTTCATTCATATGATTAAACAGAGTTGGGAGATCTTTGATAAGATCAGCAATGTCACGCTCTTTAAGAAAGTCCTCCCAGGTTTTCCTTCCTTTGACACTCGTGAAAGAACTTTTAACTCTATCTTTTTGGATATATTTAGAAGAAATCAACAACCTAGTTTGCTTGATACCCAACTTGTTTCTTTGCTTCCTTTCTTTATCAATCACTTTATTCCTGAAAATCCTTTATGCCTTTACTTCTATAGAAATATCTTTGCTCTTATCTTCTTCACCTTCAATGTATTCCATGACAACTTCAGTGATATCAGATTTAATATCCTCAACAATACTTTCTTGGTCCATATCCTCCAATAACTTGGTGATCTGAGATCCACTTGTTCTCTCACTGTCTTTGCCTTTTCTAACTGCGGAATGATGATTCACACTATTTTTTTCCATCTTGATGCTTAGTGTCATCGTACCCCTGTTTAGGCTTCCTTGTTCTTTTAGGTTTTTGAACAATATTCCAAGGTCCATTGACATCTACTTGAACATGATTGTTGGAAATGTCATGCTCTCCCTCATATCCACTATCCATGGTTATAAGCTTTGTAGCCACTTGATTTTACCCCCACAATTGACATTACTATGACCAAATATGCCACAAGAAATGCACAACTGATGCAATCCTTTGTACTAAACTTTTTAGTGCTTGCCTTTGATGGAAAACATGGAAAGTATAGGTTTGGATAGATCAATTTTGAAATTTTGGCACACACAGTATCAGAAGTCAAGACTGATGACTCAACAACAAAATGTCAAGACATATGTTATAACATCTGCTGACAGAAAACAGACTTGCAAAAACAGAAAGATTATGCCGAAAATTAAATTGCATAAAGTTAAAGAGCACAATCACTTGTTAACCCAGTTTGGTGCAACTCACCTACTCTGGAGGCTACCAAGCCAGGAAGGAAATTCACTATCAGTAGTATCGATTCTAAGCTAAACAATCCCAGTTTACATTTCTCACTTAATCCTTACCCAATGCAATTTCTACCTAGGAACCTCCTAGATATAAGAACCCTTCTCACTCCTAATCACAACAATGATATCAAATAACAATCCCAATCCTATGGAATATCTCAGGAAACCAAAAAGGAAGAACACAATTCCAATACAGAAATACTTAGTTTGCTTAAAAGCTTAACTAAGAACAATACTTAACTCTTGCTTAAAAGCTTCGAGGAGAAGAATAACTTGATAAACAAGTAACAATCAGTTAACTTAAATGCATCAAAAGATACATGAGGACGTACAAAAACACATGGAGAACTAAGGAACTCTCAAACCCTAAACCCTAAACCCTTATTTTTCACACTTAATTACAAAAAGAATGCTTTAAAAAACTAGGTCTTGGACGACTCCTTATATAGACTTCTACTGTTGGGCTTGGACTCTTCAATCAAATTAAATCTTCAGCTCTAAATCCCTGCAAAATCTTCTCCCCAAAATAGAAACAAAAAAACAAATCTTTCAAATATTTTCTAAAAAGTCTCAAAGATCCTTTTTATGAATCAAATTAAATTTGCAATTGTTCCTAACAATCCTTGATTGGTTGCGTCGGTTATGAGTACTAGAAACCTTCCGAATCTCATATTTTCAATCAAATCTTCAAGGAAAAATATCCAAATGTACTGTCATGATGTTCTATTGCAACATGTTACAGCATCTGATAGAACATCTGTCAAATAAGCACTAACAGACTTTGTTGTACCAACTGGTCAAGATGTTATGACATCTTGCTCAATATTAGGCCGCAATACATGTTTTACCCAATGAAACATGTTATGATAAAATTACTGTCAACTATTTGTTTTATCAAAATTGTTGCCAACCATAAAACCACGGACCTAAAAAATTTGAACACACAACCACGCATACTTACCCCGTTCGTTGTTAAGCGTGTTTTTATCCATCTTTCACGTTTTTCCGATACAATCACTGATGGAGGTTAACACCCTGTTATCATAGCATTCAATAGGTAATCCGAAAATCCTTACCCACACTACAAGATTAACAATGGCTTTTCTATTATGGCATAAATTCGAGCACCAAGCCCTCACCGATAAATAATGGTAAAAACTGAGCCATAATCCATTTGTTATAGCAATCTTTTGATCTTCTTTATTAGTGAAGTTGACCAAGTAATACTTTTGCCCAAGGTCAACGATGTTAAGAACTCCATGTTTGGCCCAACAGATGTTCAATCTATTTTCCAATGCTTTGAATCCAACTATGTGACCAAGTAATTTAACGATCACACCTTTACTCCAATGTTTTACAATTCGCTTCACTTCCATTTCAGATAAAACGAACTCAATGCATTCATACTCCCTATTTTTCGTTCTTCAATATTTATCCCTTATTGATCTTGACAATCCAATTCCATTAGTTCTTCCATCGGTTGAATGGAGGATTCACCAGTGATAACCTTTTTAAAGGATAATGTAGTGGTGGAGAGAGGCTTATCCAGTTGCGAAGGCATTGGGTGTGTGGATTCAAAAAGGGTATGACTCTATCGCCATCTTCCACTCCATTCTTAACTTTCTTAGAGATCCGCTCGTGCAAATCTCTGCTTTCTTTCATTTGTTCTTGGTTTGCAGAAACAAACCCTAGAATTGAGGGAAACATGCAAACCCACTCAGAATCTTCAAACAACAGTGACCCAACTAATTGGCCCGTTATTCTAAGATAAAGAATTTAAACCATCTGAGTGAAAGTAACCGCCATTGTAAGCTAGTTAGACTGTCATCACTTTTAATTAAAGGGCTAGAAGCCCTCGTGTCAAAAATCATCCCCTCTGTGCCATAAATCACCACATTTATCTTAGTCTAACTATCTCTTTCATATGTTTAATCAATTTGATAATTTATTTTTTAATAGAATTCATTCCATTTCTTTTTGAATTTTTTAATTATTGTATGACCTTTCATAATAAAAAATAAATTGAACAAAACAAAGAATACTATTTTTATGTATATTACTCAATGTCTCATTTGTTTTTTCGTTAAGACAAATAATTATAGGAATTAGGGGTGTTCGCGGTGCGGTTTGGGCGGTTTTGAAACAAAAAATCATCTGAACCGCAAGAGAAAAAAATATGCGGTTCGGTTTGGTTTGGTTGGCTTTTAAAAATAAATTCGAACCAAACCAAACCAAACTAATACGGTTTGAATTGGTTTGGTTGTTTCGGTTTTTTACAAAAATAATTATTATGTCATACATACAAATATATAGGAAAATATAATTTTATATTTAATTGTTCATACATTACCATAAAAAATTTATAATTGTCAAAATAAATTTATAATTTGATACATAAAATTGCGTATTATAATTTTATCTAAATCTAAATAATGATATCAACAAAATTGCATTCTTAAATAAATATTATACAAAGAATATGATAAATTATATTTTGTGAAAATAGTATTTATAAATGAATAATATTTTATTTTTTATGATTTGTCAATTAAAATGAATATAATATAAAGTATGATAAAATATACACATAATACATGTTGATTTCTCTAAAGAATTATAGAAATATATATTGGTTAGTAAGATTTTATAACATAATGCGGTTTTGTTTGGTTTGGTTCGGTTTGTAAAATACAAACCACAAACCGAACCGAACCATGCGGTTCCACGAGAAAATGATCCAAACACATCTGAATCAAATGCGGTTTTTTGCGGTTTCGATTTGATTCGGTTCGATTTTGTGGTTTTCTATTGGGTCGGTTTAGTTTTGAACACCCCTGATAAGAATACCTATACAAAATGCAAAGAGTCAAAGTGTATAGGGAGCTAATAGAACGATGCAACAAGTGCCTAAGAATCCCTTTAAACAAAACAAGAAAGTATAATATAACCAAATAAAGAAGATAGAAAACTCAATTAGACTAACACAATTAAACTAAGCACCGTCAGACCATCAAAAGAATCAGAGTAGATTTCCTGAACAAAAGTCACCATCAATAAAGCAAAATCTTCCTAGCAACTTATTATGACCATAATTTCAAAAAAATCAGATGACACACTCGATCTGCTATTGACCTACAAACTACCATCTTTTTTAATTACAACTAACGTAAAGTCTCTAAAAATAAGTTTAAAGTGAAACGGCCTTATCCACTAGTCATCTTAAAAATAAATGAGAATATCTGATTTTATTTTGTTGGTCAAATAACTCCAAAGTATAAGAGATATAAGATGATTGTGTTATTTAAAATTCGAAATTAATTTATAATTTTTTAAATTTTAAAATAATTATATTAAATTTGATAAATAAATAAATTAAAATAAAAGAGAGGAATGATAGAAAGAAAATGGAGAAGAAAAGAATTACATAACGGAAATAAAACCAACAGCAAAAAATAAAGAAAAAAGAGATAAAGAGAATACATATACCATATGATAGGCTTTAAACACAAAATTGTTTTCAACATAAATATGAAAAGTATTCTAATAGACAATAAGTTTGTAAAAGTTAATATTGCTAAAATAGGATAAAATATTATGTAAGTAAAGAAGAAAATTTGGAAAGAATTTTTTTTTATTACTGTTAACGCTCCTTGTGACAAGAAATAGAGAAAAATGATAATCATAACAAGAACAAAATTAACAATTTTAACAATATTTTCCAACCCAGCGTGTAACAAATAGGATATTATTGTATTACTCTATGATTTAAAATTCCATACTCAACTTACAATACTTATTTAGTTGTTTTTTAATATTTATTGAGTTTTCTTTAGAAATGTTTGTGGGTCGGTTTTATTCGATTTTGTGAGAATTTGATAGTCAAGCACATAAAAAATACATGAATTGTTTTGAATTAGGATTTGTATATTTTTATAATAAAGATTAGACTGAACCAAATCGATAAGTAATAAATTGGTTTGAATTAAAATGATAAGATACATTAAAAATAAATGTTCAGACATATTTTTAATAAAATATTTAATTATAAAAATTAATTTTTTAAAATAATATAAAATTTCTAATTTTTTGTTTGACATTTTATTTTTTTGTTTGAGAGAGATATCACTTATCCACCTAAAATCTTAAGATGATAGATGAGTGAATTCTCTTACCTATATATAGTTAAGTTTTCACATTTCTATTTAATATGAGACTATTTCACCGCTTACTCATACTTGCTATTATTCCAACATTCATAAAATTAAATATCTTATATTCATTTCTATGACGATAATTATATATATTATTAATTAATTATGATTAATTTGAATAGACGGAATCACATATAATATTATAATAATTAATTTTAAAAATTTGTTCCTCAAATCAATCAATGTCGAATTTCATTGATTTGATTTATTTTTTATTTTAATTATAAAAAAATCAACCCAAACACTATAATTTAATTTAAATTTTGATTTGGTTTATATTTCCCCGAATCAATAATCACCTTTAATTTTTTACACATAATACTTGTAAATAGTACTTGTAAAGTTGTAAAAATAAATATCTTAGACTTTATAATTATTAAATGTCTCTTAAATATATTATTATGTTGTATTTTCCACCTTTTACGTACTTAGAAAGGAGGTCATATAAATATATCTATTTTAAATTATTTTATAACCTTTAATTATAACCTTTGACCCTTTGTGCCACTTAACTAGGAGCTCGCATAAAAAAATCTATCTGTTAGATATTAGTACCCTTAACCAATTAAATAATAGAATTTAATATCACATCACGTTTTTATTTTTGTTATTTTAACATAAATTAAAATTTAACTACAATTTGCACTATAGTATTTATATCCAACTTAAACTAATGGGTACCAAAAAATTTACCTAAAAAAATTTATCTTCCTTTTTTTCTTCCAAATTTTGATCATTTTATTATCTTTTATAATTAAGAAATGAAAATAAAAACATTAGTAATATAGTTTATCATTATAAATGTATCTTTAATCAATGTGTTAGAGTTAATTTGGGATATCAATTGTACTCATATTTAATAGGTACTTTAAAAATATATCTATAACGATTAGGATAAAAATCTGTAAAATAGATATAAATATTTGAATGAATAATTACTCATTAAAATAAGTGATTATGAGTGTGGATAAAGACACCTTAATATCCACCATATAAATATTTGAACGAATAATTACTCATTAAAAATTATAACATGGTATGATATCTTTTAATTTATATTTTTTATTTTATTAAAAGTGCAGATAATATATACAGGCATGGGTACTTAAGTACTTATGAGGTATGAATACGGATATAGAACTTAATGCTCACTCGTATATAAATTCATGTACGGATTTTTTTTCAAATCATAGATATGAGAATAGGTATTATAGTATCCTATTCAAATTCTATTTGTTGTCATCCTTAAAATTAATGCCTTTAATACATAATCATTTTTAAGGGTAAAATAATAAATAATAGAAAATTAAAAACTGATCAATTAAATAAAATTTAACTATTTAAATAGTACAAGAAATACCCTATTGAAATTGAAAAAATCTAGCAAAGAATAAAGGAAAGTAAGGAGAAAATAAGCAATATACAATCAAACTAAAAATCCAGAATTCCTCCTATATTGGAAAAATCAATAACATAGGAAAAGTCACACATCTAAATCCAACCAATAAGGAGCTCAGGCTAGATCTCACACCACCAAAGTCGCCATCAAAAATTAGAAACCCTAAAGAAAAGACCAAAATCACCAAACAATATATGAATCATATATAAATTCTTGATATGATATTTTTTAAGATTAACATATATGATACCATTCTAAAACTGGTCCGAAAAAGAACATGAGATTGCACATGATTTACTACTGATCGTATCTGATCAGAATGGACCGTTACAGCTTGCTCCGAGCAGAACTTGAGAGTGAGGTGGGGGAAGGGGTACCTGCAGGACACTCTGATGCCAAAGTAAGTTTCAGAATGAGCAAGCAAGTAAGAAGTAAGAAATGTTCAATACCTGACCCTCTCAAAAGAGAGGGTACTTATAGCCCCAGTGCTGGGCCAAGGTCTCCTCATTGGGCTAGTCAAGTTGATCCAAAATGGAGACTGTCAGGTTCTACGTGAGTAGTGGGGACCCGCACGTGGTCCTCCACTTGGATGACTTCCTCCGTAAGATCAAGAGGATATGGATGCGGTCTTTCCAGGGTCACGAAGACTCCCTGATATTCAGAGACGTTAATAGTCAGCCCTACGAGGAGGATGCTCGTGAGGTGCTTCTGCTCATCGTGGAATGCTCCCCGTCAGACGCGGGGTCGCGTGAGGAGATAAGACTTG